CTTTTTAATTCTGTCCAGAGAACGAAATGACGGACCCACTTCCGTTCGGGGTGTGTGCGCATAATTCAGTCTTGCATGCTTCCGCTGTATAGTTTCGTTATCGTAAATAGAAAGTAGAATCTCTGACACTCACCTGTGGGTTACATGAAGTCTTCTGATATTCTTCTCCAAGTAATAATCCACAATTGCTGAAAACAAAATGTTTATCTCCATGCATTCTACGAGTGTTGTGGTGGTGAAATTCATGCACTAGGTTTGAGCGTTTTAGCAACTCGGATTGAGGTCTGAGGAGGTTTACGCGTGTGAAACATATATATTGATTCGAGAAAGCACATGTAGAGACTGTCAAGCATTGACGCTGTCTGTAGAAGGAAGAAGTAAATATATATACTTATAAACCGTATGAGTGATGAAGTTTAACCTCTATTTTGATGTTTCAAACGGGAACGTAATATGATATGACCATACCTGCCAACCCTGGATATACTAAAAGAGGGTGATGACCCTCGTGCACTAGACTAGAATGCAGCGTTTGGTCCATGGCTGCCGGACTTTATACACTATAACTCATTTTCCTACGACATTTGATATGTGCATAATTATATTTTCTTTTAGCATTTCGTGTAGTAGAACCTGCAAGTCCCGATAAAGACTTCTTCCTTCAAGAAGACATAATGTAACCTTCAAAATACAATCTATTCTACGTAAATATGATTATAAAATCAACTCTATTATTTGTTAAAACACCTGACTAATTACTTGTCGGCAAGTTCATTAACAACGGTCTTTATATAAACATTTGTAAAAACAGTTCTAGTACGTATATAAACAACTCACAACTTACCTGTTGGTGAGAAACGGAAACGGGAAATAGATCGTCTTTCTTATGAAGAAGGATTGAAAAGTCATTACACCGGGTCAAAATCGTAACCCGGCGGGTGAAGTTATAAAAGCGGGTGAAGGGCTAAAATCCTGGGTGTAACACGACGAAATCGGGTCACTTGGCAGGTATGCATGACATATCTTGCTTAGGTTGATAACGGTAATGGCTCCGAGACGAGACAATATGTGAACTGTGTATGCTTATCAAACATTTCTGTAACACAGCATGCTATTTCTGGTGTATTTATTTATGAAAATGTAACAATTTAAGAACATGACACAAGCGCCGTGTCAAAATATTATCCAATCCAGTGTAAGGGAAATAACTCTTACGTTGGTAAAGTCACATTGAGAAATATAATTCAAATATATTCCAAGAACATTTGTGAGATTTTGTATATTCAATGCCAGTAAATAAAGTAACTACATATATTAATAATTATTATTAATATGAATAAAATATAAATAAAAATAAAAGAGGGTGAAAAAAGAGGAGAGGGAGAAATGTTTTTAAGGCATCATTTAAGAGGTGATTGATTTTGGAAATCCCAAAGGCAACATCATCACATGACCTGATTTTCAATTAGCAGAATACAAAACACATATCTGAGGTATTATAGTAGATATTGATGCTCAACGTGTTACTGAAGCAATTAACTTTAAGTGGTGAGCAGCTTTAATGTCACACTGACATAATTCTAGTGTACATTTACATTTGACTTTTTGATTGTTTTTCGTGATTTTAAAAGTGATTTACAAGAAAGCTGGTTTGAGCACAGAATCCATGCTTGAGCATGTGGATGGTTTCATGAATATTGGCCCCGTCTTAACACCAACCATGCTTGTTATCATCACACTTTATTTCCTCCAAAAAGGAGATATTTGAGTACAAGAAAAAAAAGCAAAAATTACAAAAAGGACAGAAAATGCCGCGGTAGGGCGCAGCTAAAGAACTGTGTCCTCGCGAATGCGAGTAAAAGTCTTAGTCATGGTTTCTTAAATCATTCCATTCACTTGAGTTCGCGAAGCGCGCACGACAAAGTATGCTGCATGCATCAGAAACAGTTTTTGAGTTGTATCATCCTGAAATTGGGGACCTGTTTTTGCACCTAATAAATTGTGAACAAAGGTAGCAGTGTCATGTTGATCAATGTAATTGAACACATTCAATCCAAACTTATGCAGGATCATCTGAAGAAAATGAGCCCGGAGTTCGCTGGTGTACTCACAGGTACAGCAATAGTGAGATATGACGTCACAGAAATGCTGGGAACACTTGGAGCAAACGTTCTGGTCAGGTGGCGAAGGCTTTGCCAATAATCTGCACAATGAATAAATTTCTTCTATGTCTCTGTTAGATTTTGCTGCGCGCAACATAATGTACGGGTTGTAGGAGGAGTGACAGTTCCTAAATATATCAAAATCACGGTTGTTTCTTAGTCGATCTTTTAGGGTCAGGTTGGAGTGCTGTTCCTGTATTACAATCAAAGTGTGTTGATAGACTGGTAGACCTTCCATCCTGATAGAGAGATGCCAGACTTTACAGATTACATACCTTGGGGTTCTGATAATTGTAAAATAATTAAACATCTTAAGAATTTTTCCGACATGAAAAAAAAAACTGATGTAAAAAAAATATCAGTCATGCAGTAAGGGTATTGCTTTGGGCTTGAAATAGAATTTGGTTAAATATCTAAACATATTTTGTTGAGGGATTTCAGGTTCATAGTGCTCTCTAGAGGGCTGTACAACTCTGATAAACAACCTTGTTATAATGCTTCCAAATATTTTCTGAGATAAGATCATGTTCAAAGGCGACATGACTGGATATTTTTTCTGCATTATTAGCTCACCTACTCAAAATACCAGTAGGTAAGTGAGCTTATGCCATATCACAGTATCCATTGTCTGTCAGTATTTCAATGATTTTTTTTGAACAACTGTATGGAATTTCCTGAAATCTTATCAGAAACATTCTTAGGTGATGGGAATCCAAAATCATGAAAATTAAAGGGTATGATCCCCCTTCAAAGGAGCCAAGGGTGGGAATATTGTTTCCATGTGTGTGTGTGTGTGGGGAGGGGGGTATACTGGAATCAGCTCGTCTGTCCGTCCCTCCGTCCATAGTTTGTCCGGACAACTCCTTCTAAAGTAATGGACCAATTTCAACTAAACTTTCCAGATATGATAACTACCACATGAAGTTATGCATCCAGGTATTATTTTTTCATTCTTTTAGCTGACCTGGCCCAAATGGCCAATTGAGGCTATGCCGTGGTACAGCGGCTATCGTTCGTCCGTCCGGCGTCAACATATTTTACTTTAAACAACTTCTTCTGAATAATCAAAAGCCTCTGGGTGATGATATATGGCCAGTAGCATACTGGCATAAAGAACTACCAAGTTTGTTCATATGAATGACCTTGACTTATATTTAAGGTCACAGGGGTCAATTATCTTAAAAACCTTTAAACAACTTCTTTTGAATAACGTAATAGACCGGGATAATGATATTTGGACAGTAGTATGCAGGGATGAAGGGCTACAAAGTTTTATCAAATGAATGACCTTTGCCGGTATTCAAGGTCACAGGGGTCTGTTATCTTAAAAACACTATAAACTGACTTCTTCTGATTAACCAAAAGGTTTGGGGTCATGATATTTGTCCAGAAGCATGCTGGGATGAAAGGCTTCCAAGTTTGTTTAAATGAATGACCTTCACCCATATTCAAGGATATCAGGATCAAATATGTTGAAATCTTTGAGCGACTTCTCCGAATAACCAAAAAGTCCAGGGTGATAATATTTCGCTAGAAGCATGCTGGGATGAAAGGCTTCCAGCCTTGGTAAATGAATGACCTTCACCCATATTCAAGGTCACAGGGGTCAAATATGTTTAAATCGTTAAATAACTTCTTCTGAATAACTAAGAGGCCTAGGCTGATGGTATTTTGCCAGTAACATGCTGGGATAAAGGGCTACTAAGTTTGTTCAAATAAATGACCTTCGCTCATATTTAAAGTTACAGGAGTCAATTGTCTTAAAAACCCACAAAAACCGACTTCTGCATAGCTAAAGCATCTAGGGTGATTGCTTGTTGATGTGAATGACCTTGACACACTTTCAAGGTCACATCTGGTCCACAGTGCATAAATCTTAAAAGTCATCTTCTCAGAAAACAAAAGGTATAGGGCCATTAGGGTGGTGATGTTTGACAAGTTGCATTCTGGGATGAAGGGCTATAAAGTTTGTTAAATTTAATGTCAGTATTTGACTTTCAAGGTCATAGGGGTCAAATGTGTTTAAATCATTTAACATGTTCTTCTGAATGACTTAAGTCAAGACACTGATATTTTGCCTATAGTTTTATTTTAGTACACTTTTAGGGTTACAATTGTGAGATTAGTTCCAGGTGAGCGATGCAGGCCCATTGGGCCTCTTTTACTGTCGCAAATTGAGTTTGACTAGCAACGTGGATCGGAGTCAGTAAAATGGATATTTGCGACAGTATAATCACGATATAGCGCTGCAAAATTCAAAATACAGAAGGGTTATCTCCATTCTAATTCATATCAACCAAAACCACCGAAAGAAACTGTGATTTTAAGATATTTTTGGGTGTTTTCTTCCAATTCTGAGTCTCTCTGCTGTGGATTGGTGGATTAACAATCGCCATCCATGCTTCATATGCAAATGAGAAATTTGCAGACAGGATATTGTTGTTTTACTGTCGCAAGTTATTTTGATTGACCAGTCTCAAATGTATTAGAATAAAGGATGATGGGTAACAAGTAATTGGTTTTCATAACCAGTATTCAGCTGACATGGGGAAGACTATAATATTGTTTGTGACCAGCTATATATAGGATATCCTGGTCACTCTCTAACGTCACTTTGTCTGCTCTGTCATTTTAAGGGACAGATAGGACATTATCTGTGGAAAGATGTCCCAGTAAGTCAGCTGTTTCGCAATGCACTTCTGTTGGGATGAAAAGTAAGGCTGGGTTAATTAAATATCATTTAGGCTCAAAGTATGATTTATGTATGTTGTATCGGTGACACAATGTGTGGTATCAGAGAGCACCCTGCCATTGCAATGTTTTTGTTTGTATTTACAGATACTGCAGCTATTACAAGATCGTGGAGTCGAACCGTCATTGTAACACAACCGACTTTGGTAAAGCCTGGTCCAACAAGCTCCAGCCTGGTAATAAAGTATGTGTGGAATGTCAGCCCTTCGCCATGGACAAAGAGGCTGGTCTACGCTGTAAAGGCCATGGCGTGATCAATCAAGCAACTCACTGGAAGGCCCTGGACGTTCACCATTGTCATGGCAAATGGATAATGGAAAAGGTCCATAAGACCTGTACATGTAACATCTACGGAGACAATGATTTTATCCTTGTCTAACTCAAATCTTGTGTGGCTGGTCCAAGTACCGGTCAATTGTCATTGCTTGTAAATCTCACAAATAATTATGATTTTGTTATTTTTAGTTGATATGTTTGAGTCCAAACATGACCATATTTGACACATTGTATAAAAGACACAAAAACTGCTTATATACTGTTTGATTGAGATTTAACAAGTTGACAGATCTGTTTCTCCTGGTGTAGACAGATATTGTTTGGTACATGTACATACAGAGACTTTACAAGTTGACATGTCTGTTTCCCCTGGTGTAGACAGACATTGTTTGGTACATACAGAGACTTTACAAGTTGATTGATCTGTTTCTCCTTGTGTAGACAGATATTATAAGGTACATACAGAGACTTTACAAGTTGACAGATCTGTTTCTCCTTGTGTAGACAGATATTATAAGGTACATTCAGAGACTTTACAAGTTGACAGATCTGTTTCTCCTTGTTTAGACAGATACTGTAAGGTACATGCAGAGACTTTACAAGTTGACAGATCTGTTTCTCCTTGTGTATACAGACATTGTTTGGTACATACAGAGAATTTACAAGTTGATTGATCTGTTTCTCCTTGTGTAGACAGATACTGGAAGGTACATACACAGACTTTACAAGTTGACAGATCTGTTTCTCCTGGTGTAGACAGATATTGTTAGGTACATACAGAGACTCTAACAGTTGATAGACCTGTTCCTAAAACTGTAATATAATCATAATAAAACAGTAATCAGCATTGTTGATGTTCGGCTCCACACACTGGAATGTGAGCCCATCGCAATTATTAAACAAATACACCATCTCTTCACCACCGAAAGTCACAGGTCATCATGCAGTCTTGTCGTATCTCCTTTTAATTCTGGCTACAAACACTGTTCTGTAGTGTACACACCAGGACGGCATAGCTTGATTTAGTTTCATTAGCCTTATAACACATTTTAACAAATTTGAATGAGTGACTTTTCAAAATAATTTGATATGAAATTAAAAATATGCGGATTCTGTGGATTCAAAGTGTCCACTGTCAGATGATACAAAAATACTCATATTCCTTTTTTTAAATGATTTTGGAAAATTATATTTAATTTATGATGAAGCTGATGGTGCTTGCTAAGAGTTTGTGTAGGTTGTTGACAGTGAGGTAGGTGTTGACTGCAGGTGACTGGACCTCTCACAACCCTGGCAGCTCGCACAGGTGACTGGACCTCTCACAACCCTGGCAGCTCGCACAAGGAAAGGCTCCTCTGGCTGCAGGGTTTTCACAGATTTCCTTTCCTTTCCTAATTGGTCATGGTTTAATTTTCACATATTACCATGTGGTAACAGCTCACGGTTCTGGTCATTGTTAAGGTAACCTGGCACAATTTTACTCATGAATTAAGTATTAATCAAAACAGGAACAAGTCTTACCAACCTGCAGATGTATCGCAGAAAGGGAAATAACTCTAGTTTTATTTTCACCTTTTTACACAACTTTCGTTTTTCCCTGAAATGATTTTTTAGAAAGGCAGATAAGAATATCTCTGCATGGTTGGAAGTTAATGGAGCCTGACAGTACATTGGATATTTCCCCTGTCTAAGGTGGTGTGACTACCTTGGTTAAGGTGGTGTGACTACCTTGGTTAAGGTGGTGTGACTACCTTGGTTAAGGTGGTGTGACTACCTTGGTTAAGGTGGTGTGACTACCTTGGTTAAGGTGGTGTGACTACCTTGGTTAAGGTGGTGTGACTACCTTGGTTAAGGTGGTGTGACTACCTTGGTTAAGGTGGTGTGACTACCTTGGTTAAGGTGGTGTGACTACCTTGGTTAAGGTGGTGTGACTACCTTGGTTAAGGTGGTGTGACTACCTTGGTTAAGGTGGTGTGACTACCTTGCAATTTGGCCAGTAGGTACAATGCCATACATGTAGGTATATATACATATATATCGACTTTTTGTAGAAAGAATTTTTATAAATATTTTACAAAGTGATTTTAGAATTTTTTATCTAGATTAGAATATATGGCAGGATTATTTGTAAGCCTGAATTATGTTGGACTTGACTTAGATATTTAAAAATCAAAATGAAGATGTAGAGTTCATAGTTAGATTTTTAACATGCTTACATTGTTTATATATGATTTTTAACATTGATTTATCATAATCATCAGTTGATGAAATTATTTATATACATTTTTAAAGCATATAATATATTGTATAACTAAAATGTAAGAAGACTTGGTTGTAATTGACATTTTCTGTTGTATCAGAATTGTCCTCAGTATGTCCTCCTGACCAGTATCCATAAAAATCTACACACTTTTAGGATATTTTTTTTTATAGGAGTCACCCTGGAAATATTTCTTGTTAATAATATTATCTATGCATGGAATTCAATGTCATTTATTAGCTCACCGGGTCCGAAGGACCAAGGTGATCTTATGCCATACCGTGGCGTCCGTCGTCCATCCGTCAACAATTTCTCTAAAGGACTTCTTCTTCTTAACCACTGATTGGAATTTAACTAAATTTGACTGGAAGCATCCCTATATGGTTGGGATTCAAAATTGTACAAATGGTGGGGCTGACCCCCCAGGGGGCTGAGGGGCGGGGCCAAAAAGGGGCATTTTGGCTATATTGCTGCAAACAACTTCTTCTTTAGAACTGTTCACTGGATATCAATCATATTTAATCAAAAGCATTCATGGGAGGCAGGGATTCAAAATTGTACAAATGGTGTGGCTGACCCCCGTGGGGGCTGAGGGGCAGGGCCAAAAAGGGTTATTCAGCTATATTGCGTTAAGCGACTTCTTCTCTGGAACTAAGAGATAGATTTAAACCATATTTTACTGGAGGCATCCCTAGGTGGTGGGGATTCAAAATTGTACAAATGGTGGGGCTGATCCCCCAGGGGGCTGAGGGCTGGGCCAAAAGGGGGCAATTTGGCTATATTGCTATAAACGACTTCTTCCGTAGAACTATACCATGAATATTGATCATATTCGGAAGCGTTCATGGGAGGCAGGGATTCAAAATTGTACAAATGGTGGGGCTGACCCCCCGGGCTAAGGGGTGGGGCCATTTTTTTTTTTTTACTTGGAAATGGTTGAGATCCCCATCATATAACCATATATACAATTGCTGAGTATAAAGAGAGGAATGCACATTTGCTTCCAGGATGGCTCTAGGGTCTTGCCCCACCCTTGGAGACTTAACCCCTGGGTCATAACTTTGAAACGGTTAAGATCCCCACCCCAAAACTATATATACAATTGTTGGGCATAAAGAGATGAATGCAGTCATGATATTAGAATTGACCCCAGGGTCTGCCCCACCCTTGCAGACATAACCCCTGGGTCATAACTTTGAAACGGTTGAGATCCCTAGGGACCTAGTTTCTGAGTCACAGCTTGAAAACAGTTGAGATCCCCACCCCATAAACATACATAAGATTGCTGGGCATAAAAAAATCAAATACAGATATGCTACAAGGATTGGCCTTGGGGTCTGGCATATTCCCTTGGATCTCATTTGGAGAATATTTTGCCTTGATTGCTTAGATATCCAGGTGAGCGATACAGGGCCTCTGGGCCTCTTGTTTTGAGTAAATCCCCATCAATAATGTTAGAATCTGATGGGTAGTGTTTTACAATAATGTAAGACTCCGGGCAGTGTTTACAATAATGTAAGACTGGGCAGTGTTTTACAATAATGTAAGACTGGGCAGTGTTTTACAATAATGTAAGACTCTGGAAAGTGTTTTACAATAATGTTAGACTCTGGGCAGTGTTTTACAATAATGTAAGACTCTGGGTAGTGTTTTACAATAATGTAAGACTCTGGGTAGTGTTTTACAATAATGTAAGACTCTGGGCAGTGTTTTACAATAATGTAAGACTCTGGGCAGTGTTTTACAATAATGTAAGACTCTGGGTAGTGTTTTACAATAATGTTCGACTCTGGGCAGTGTTTTACAATAATGTAAGACTCTGGGCAGTGTTTGACAATAATGTAAGACTCTGGGCAGTGTTTGACAATAATGTAAGACTCTGGGCAGTGTTTTACACTTATGTAAGACTCTGGGCAGTGTTTTACACTTATGTAAGACTCTGGGCAGTGTTTTACACTAATGTAAGACTCTGGGTAGTGTTTTACAATAATGTAAGACTCTGGGTAGTGTTTTACAATAATGTTCGACTCTGGGCAGTGTTTGACAATGATGTAAGACTCTGGGCAGTGTTTGACAATAATGTAAGACTCTGGGCAGTGTTTTACAATAATGTAAGACTCTGGGTAGTGTTTTACAATAATGTTCGACTCTGGGCAGTGTTTTACAATAATGTAAGACTCTGGGCAGTGTTTGACAATAATGTAAGACTCTGGGCAGTGTTTTACAATTATGTAAGACTCTGGGCAGTGTTTTACAATAATGTTCGACTCTGGGCAGTGTTTTACAATAATGTAAGACTCTGGGCAGTGTTTGACAATAATGTAAGACTCTGGGCAGTGTTTTACAATAATGTAAGACTCTGGAAAGTGTTTTACAATAATGTAAGACTCTGGGCAGTGTTTACAATAATGTAAGACTGGGCAGTGTTTTACAATAATGTAAGACTGGGCAGTGTTTTACAATAATGTAAGACTCTGGGCAGTGTTTACAATAATGTAAGACTCTGGGCAGTGTTTTACAATAATGTGTTCTCAGTAAATACATTATTTAGTCAAAATAAGAAAGTTTTGTGAATTTTGGGGGAGGGGGATTTGCCAGGCCATTGTTGTGATGTAAGATTTAAATTCAACCTCATATCAATAAATGTATAAAATAGCCCTGACTTCTCAAAACAAGAATGTTATACGCTCAGAAAGCAATATTCCTAAGACCTCATTTGGCAGTTGTTTGCATAGAAAAGGCTGTTAATGTTTATGGAAAATGCTAGAAATTGAATGCAAAAATTGAATTGAATGTTAAAAAACATAAGTTTTACTTAATTAAAAATCATGGGACTCTTTGAGAAATATGTTTTATTTTCAAAGAAATAAATATGGACTATTTAATTCTATTTCCAATTTGCCTAAGTTGTATTTTTGAGAAATTACATCTTGAATACAAGAACTGTCCTTTTGTATGAAGCTTAGATGGGACAGGAATGCACTGAAGTTACTGACATGACATCAAACACATGTCACATACTAATGTCTTTGATTTCTATTTTATACCCAGTATTTTCATGATTTTTATATCACAGGTTCGACCCTGTCATGAAGTCATATAGAATGTCTTTTTTAAATAAAATGTCCGTGATGTTTCACACCTGATCAAAAAGTCAGGCTTTGTACAGTTTTTCACAATTAGTACAGGAAAGAAAAATCCTTCAGTTATCAATAATTGTCAGGAAAACAAGTCTGAAATTCTTGTGTGACCTTGAAATTTGTGTGAATTTGAGTTAAAGTCTAAGGATTAAGTGAAAGCATGCAATACTGTAAGCGGTAATGGTGTCTTTATAAATACAAATTTAGGACACATTCAACATATGTTTTGTGAGTTAATCTTATTAAGTGCAAGTTTTCATGTATCTTTTATCACCAGTATTGCATTTGATAGATACTTTGGGATGCCCACATGCTGTCTGTGGTCTGCTCACTCTTTATCAACGTCTGTCAGTCATTACTCTGTCCCTAACACAGCTCCTGGCTTTCAGTTATCGGTTAGGTCGGCCTAAACAAGTGGCTGTCATTCAGCTACAAACTCGGCACAATTTATCAGTGAGCCAAGGCCACATTGACTCTCAATCAATTCCAGGCTAGATCACATGGCCATCTGTAAGCCACTAACTTTACCTTAAACTACACATGGATTTACCTCCACACTAACTCTGTATATAATGTTGACTCTAAAAGATTTTTCTGTATTAAAACCATCTGTATAATCTTCCGGAGTTGTATTTTCATTTGGTGTTCTGTCAATGCTTCATTACTAAAACAATAACTGAATTCCTGAGAATATAAAGTTTTCTTTAGTATAAGGTATAAAGTATTCTTTAGTATAAGGTATAAAGTATTCTTTAGTATAAGGTATAAAGTAGTCTTTAGTATAAGGTATAAAGTATTTCAGAGGCTCAGAAAAGTTTGCTTTTGCAACAAGTAAGACACTATATATGATCACATCATGTACAGGTGTGTCTGTTAAAGATACTAACAAGAATGTGTCTGTTAAAGGTACTATAAAGTATGTGTGTGTAACAGGTACTATAAAGTATGT